ACACACACACACACACACACACACACACACATATTTTTTTTATATATTTTAGATATATATATATATATATATATATGTGTGTGTGTGTGTGTGTGTGTGTGTATATATATATATATATATATATATATATATATATACACACACACACACATATACACACGTATATACACTTACACATATATATCATGGTAATTTAAATAATAATTATTATACAGCATATTTGTTTTTTAAAGATTATGTAACAGTTTAGTTACTTTGTAATGTAGATCAAAACGTGCCTACTTGTGCTGGATCTGTACTAAGTGCAATACAAATACTGTTTCAATTAGTACTGATAATGATTCTTGGAAGTAGTAGCTATTATTATTCCCATTGTGTTTAAACTGGGATTTATAGAGGTTATGTCACTGTCAAGTACTCATGATTTTGAGAAAGAGGCAGGACAAGAATTTGAAGTACAGTCATTTCTGAGTATCTAAGGGAAATTGGTTCTAGGACCTCTAGAAGACAGAAAATCTGTGGATGCTTATGTTTCTGATATAAATTAACATAGTATTTGAATATAACTTATGCACATCTTCCTGTATGTTTTACATTATCTCTAGGTGACTTGCAATACCTAAAACAATGTAAATGCTATGTAAATAGCTTGTATTCTGTATTGTTTAGGGAATAATGACCAGGAAAAAATGTACATGTTCAGTAAAGATGCACTTTTTTTCAGATATTTTTGATCTGTGGTTAGTGGAACCCATGAATGCAGTGGTTAGTGGAACCCATGAACGCAGAATCCATAGATATAAAGGGCAAACTGTAGTTCTGTTGGATTCCAAAGCCAAATTACTTGCCCACTACATGTTTTTTAAAACATTTTTTATTTTCCAGAAGTGCCTGATATCTTCATTTTAGCTGTGATTATGAAGGTATTTCTCATCCTTGAATATAGACATAAAAGTATGAGTGAAACATTTAATGAATCATCATGAACTTGCAAAGTCTGTGTCAAATAAATGTGTTGAAAAAATCCCACGGCATAAAGAAGATAAAAAATCTTGTGTCATTTTAATGAGAAAGGAGGAAATACTTTAAACGATTTAAAGGAGATAGAGCAGAGAGATGCCAAAAGTAAATCCACAGATGCCATATTAGAATATGACATTACCTACCTGCACATGGTTCAAGAAATTAGCTTGAAATAAAAATAATGCCCCATCACTGATATCAAGAAGTACTTACTGAAGGATACTGTGGTATCCCAGGGACTTCTAGACACCAGACTAGACTAATGTTCTTGGACTAGCGCGACCAAGAACCATGAAAGATACTAGACATCTAGGATTCCACCCAAGAAGATACCATCATATTCTAGTAATTGTTTTCCACATCAGATGGACTTCCACATCTGTAAAAAGATAAGAAATCCCTTGACCAGAGAAGCTTGAGTTTGAGGAGGGGCAGGGAAAAGACTGCATCATTGTATTAGTTTTCTGTGGCTACTATAGCAAATTGCCACAAACTTAGTGGTTTTAAACATCATTTTTTGTTTTAATCTTACAGTTCTGTAGTTCAGGAATATGAACTGGATCTCACTGGGCTAAAATAAAGATATTGGTTGGGCTACTTCCCTCCTTAAGGCTGTAGGGAAAATCCATTTTCCTACGCTTTTAAACTTTTAGAGGCCGCCCACATTTCTTGATTTCTAGCTCCATTTCTCCCTCTTCAAAGTCAGCAACATCAGGCTGAGTCCTTCTGACTCTGCCTTTCCTCTGGTTCACTGCTGCCTTCATCTTTTCCTTTAAGGACACTTGTAATTATGTTGGGCTCACCTAGATAATGCAGGATATTCTTCTTATTTTAAGGTCTGCTGATTAGTAACCTTAATTCCATCTACAATCTCAACTTCCATTTTCCATGTAAACTAACACATTCAGAAATTCCAGAGATTAGGATGTGGACTTTTTTTTTTTTTTTTTTAAAGTGGTAGCATTATTCTGTCTTCCACAATTTTGTTCATTGTAAGCATCCTCAATACCCATAAATGGTGACTTCATAGTTATTTTATTTTTATCTACTAATATTTATTAGAAATATATATGTTGCTTAGCAATAGAAGATTCCTTCTGAGAAATGCATTTCTAGGTGATTTTGTAGTTGTGTGACCATCATGAAGTGCACGTACATAAACTTAGATGGAGTAGCCTACTACACATCTAGGCTATGTAATATAGCCTATTACTCCTAGCTGACAAACCTATACAGCATGTTACTTCACAAAATACTGTAGGAAATTGTATTCTAAATTTTAATTTCTAAAAAATGTTTCATTTTGTAATAGCACCGTTTGAAACATAAACATGGTACAGCTGTGCAAAAATATTTTCTTTCTTTATATACTTATTTTGTGGATTTTTTTCTATTTAAAAATTATTTTTTAATTTTTAAACTTTTTTGTTAAAAACTAAGACACAAACACACATATTAGCCTAGGCCTATACAAGGTCAGGATCATCAATATCATGATCTTCCACCTTCACACCTAGTCAAACTAGAGAGTATTCAGGGCAATAATATGAAGCTGTCATCTCTTATGATAACAATGCCTTCTTCTCGAATGCTTCATAAAGAACTTACCTGATACTGTTTTACAGTTAATTTTTCTTTAAGTAAAAGGAGTACACTCCAAGATAACAATAAATAGTATAGCCAATACTAGATGATAGGAACTGTTCAGCTTTATTATAATCTATTAGACCATTGCCATTATGTGGCTAGTTGCTGAATGAAAAGTTACGTGGTGCATGACTGTATTTTACTA